TTCACTTTTTGTTTTCCCTTTATTTCGGGGCATGAAAACAATTATTAGTTTTTCAAACTTTATTTATAGGTTCTCTATTATGTAAGATACATATGTATAAAATTTTATGGCATTTGACAAAGCCCAAAAAAAAAAAAAAATCGCCAAAGATGGAGGTGTCAAAAACGTCCTCGCCCAAATAATAATTTCATTCTCGTTTTATTTTTTCTTATTTTCATTAATATTATTTACTCTTCATATTTGATTTTTATTTCCAATTTGGTAACGAATTTGGGTGTACTGTTGAGGCAAATGTTGTTTAGTTTATTCTTCTGCATTACATATATTTTGTTCAGAGTTTTCGGAAATATTTTTTTTTTTTTGGGGTCCGCTTTCCGCCGAACAACCGAACGTGTCGAGAGGGGGTCCCGAAAGTTCGGGCGTTCGGGTTCGGGCGTTCGTCCCATCCCGAACGCCGGTTACCCTGTATATATATATATCGTCATATATATTTTTATATATATATTTTCATATATATATATATATATATATATATGACGATATATATATATATATATATATATATATATCGTCACAGACAGATTTGCCCGGTAAAGCGTAGGCAGAGAGAGAGAAGAGGACAACAAACGAGCGGCTGTGACAAACTGTTTCGTCAGAGTTTCACCGACTCATCAAGAGGCTGAACCCTCAACAGTCTGCAGAAACCCCTCATGGATTACACTGTAAATGATAATATACCTTAACCAAAATCAAATAGACTATCACTCACCCACACCAGATGGAAAACTCTACAGACTGTCGGTTCACACCCCATCACAAACCAGCAAAACATCGACGAAACAAAGAAAGGTCTGTCACAGCCAAAAAATACACTCCAGACACGCCGCTGGCACTAGAGGCACATCATGGCCACCTAGTAACGGCCCCGACCACTGCCACTATATATCTATATATACAGGGTAACCGGCGTTCGGGATGGGCCGAATGCCCGAACCCGAACACCCGAACATATGGGACCCCTTGGGGATGCGTTTGGCCGTTCGGGCCGAACACCGACCCAAAAAAAAAAAAAAAAAAAAAAAACAAATCATAAAAAAACCCTGAAAAAAAGATATGTTATGGATAAAAATAAACTAAACAAGATTTCCCTGAGAATTACATCCGAATTTCTTACCGAATTTGAAATAAAAATAAAATACGAAAAACAAATACTAATAATAAAAATAAATAAAAATAAAAAGAGAATTAAATTTAGTGAGTGCGCGAGCATGTTTTCGACACCGCCATCTTTCGCGATTTTTCTTTTTTTTTGGCATAGCTAAATGCCCTGAAAATTTACAGATATGTACTTCACATGATGCAAAAACCACTTAAAAAGTTACAAAAAATAAGCAAATTGTTTAGACCATGAACTAAAGTGAAAACAAAAACTAAAAAATAAAAAAAAATGTGGGTGAGCACGTTTTGAGACCGCCATCTTTGGCGATTTGTAATTTTTATATGGCTGCGCTGAATGGCTTGAAAAAAGTCATAGCGATGTCCCTCATGTCATAGAGAACTCACAGACAAAAATTCAGAAAAAAACAATTATTTTTAGGCCCCGAAATAAGTTTTGGCGGGAGCCGAACGCCGTCAAGTTCGGACCCCGTTCGGGACCCCGAACGCCCATACTTTTGGAGGTCTGCCCGGGGTACGTGCTGGTGACCGTGTATATATATATATATATTCGTCTATTTTTTTGCCCCAAAAAAATCCTCGGGGTTTCATGCCCGCACTCGGCCGCGGGTGGTAAAAAGGGTCCGCGATTGCTACTGTGGGTGATACATAGCAGTAGGCACCTCTGGTTTAGAAGCCATTTGTACGTCATCTTTTAGAGGAATTCGGGTCTTCTGTGTAATTATCTGAAGTTCATCTCGTGTTGGGCTAGACGCGGCCAAGTACTTGAGTATCGAGCACTTCATAGGTTGCCTCAACGCGCGCCTGAGAGGGTCCCCTGTGTCAATATCATCTACGGAGCTCCTCATTGTGAACCTCTTCGCTCCTCGTTTTCGCGGCGAAAGTATGACCTCCTCTCCTTCGATCCTCTGACCATGCTTATCAGCCATCACATACTCGGTATCGGACTTGGTTGCCGCAACCCGTATAGGTGTAGCAGGCGTCTCGTCATCCGAGGACAAGGTCATCCGCACACACCAGAACAAAATTCCAGAATTAAATAATTATTCTAGAGTAAAATTACATTCTAAATTTCAAATTTTCATTACATCTAAAAAAATGTCATTCCAATTTTAAAATTTTCCGTCTTACTTGAAAACTCTCCTTCCAAGAATGGGGTATCCCTTCATATTTAAATTGCATGCTAGAAACGGAATGAAATTCTGGATGAGTTCATGAAATATTTTAATTGGACTATCATTCTAAGTAAGGATTTTCAGTCATAAATAGGTTAATCCAATCTAAATTAGAAAATATTTCTTGTAGTAGAATGAAAGTCTAATTA